AAAAACCCCACCATGATAATAGGGACAAATTTGTTTTCTACATTCTGATATATCATATGAAAGACACCAGACAACGGAAGGCAAATGGAAGAGTATGCCCACTGACATTTAATTTCTCCAATGATTTTGTTTAGCATGTTGTAATCAAGTTTGAGCAATAGATTTAAAGGAGGGCAAATGTTAATTTTGATATTCAGAAGTCAAGCAATAATTTTCTTTAGAAGTTCTAATCCTTCTTGTTTTGCTCTTTCCTGAAAAATAAAGGTTCTTCACTGGGATAGCTTAGATAAGAGAAAGCTAATTTCATGACTTGGCAGCACCAAAACAAAAAGAAAGAAAAAGAAAAAAAAGCCCACCCAGGAGTGTTAGAAACAGGGGTCAATAAAAGCCATATACAATACCCCAAGATATGTTACCTAGCAATCTCCCAGAAAGATGGTGACTAGCATATTTTTTAATTAAGCCTTTATTACAAGGCATGAGAATTCTAAGGCAAATTGTTCATCATGGCAGAACATCAAATCAAAACGCCAGTAACTAAATTAAGCAGAACGTAGAGAAGGTTTGTTGCCTGTAGCAAAAACAAAACACCCTTATCCTTACAGAGCCTCAGCATTTAAATTTACAGCAAAATTCTTATCCCTATCACATTAGCTCAAATTTAACCATTTCAATTAAAACTAAGATTCTCGGAATCAAAAACATCTTATGCGGCTGTGCGTTACATAGTACAATAGGGCCAGAATTTGGACACAGTAGCCCCTACAGGTGTCCCACAAATACACAGTACTCATAAAAAGGGAACAAAGCTAAACACACTATAGGCTCCGCTTCCTTCTCCACGTTAACACTTGCAAGAGAATTCTAATTCACCTAGACCCTATATGAATGTTCAGGTATAACTGAATCCTTTCTTAAAACAGAAGAAATAAGTTTCAAAATTAGATGCAGTAGTTTGAAAACATCCTTTAAACAGTGTCCTTTGAACTCTTACTGCAATTTCACCTAGCTCTCAGTCTGATGTTCATAGTGTTATATGCTGGAAAGCACAAGAAATTTTTGCATGAATTTGATCACTCACATAGGCAGTTATACTTTGAAAACAATGCTTCTTGCAAGAATTACCAATAAAATAATGTTTTAGGACGCAATTGAATTTGAAATAGGTAATGTTTTGAATAGATTTTTTAGTTTTATTGAAATCTTACATGAACAAGAAATTGGAAATACAATCACATCAAGGAACAAATTGCCACGGCTTTGACGTTTAAGTCAAACAAATTTTGTAGGGCAGATTTTCAAAAAGGTGTGAAGTTATAACAATTTAAAAACACAGTTAACCTACTTCTAGGAATGCAAAACATACAATCATGTTATTTTCAATACAAGAAAAAACTTAATTTTTCTGTAATTTCTTAAAACTACTAAGACAAAGCACTAGCTTTTACTTTTATGTACAGCATACTCCTATGTAGTCTATCCCAAATCCAAAAAAGAAACTGTCCAAAACCAGAGGTTCTGCAAATCATGATTGAACAGTGTGCCCATCCTGCTTTTAAACTGCTAAAAATGAAGCCTAAAACGATAAAAGCATCGAAACCCCAAATGGAGTTCAGGAATTCTGCAAGCCCAGTAATGTCCAAGTGCGTTTATGAAAAAAGAAAACTAAAAGACTCGAGTATATACACAATAGAGTGATTCTTCAGCCCAATACAAATGACAGCCAATCGCTACTGAAGGATGAAACATTAAGCCAATTTTTTTTTTTTGAAGAATATAGATCTATAGCCAATTCTATGTTGCCAATATCATTCTCAAGCCCTCCTCACTTGTCTACTTCCACTGCTGCCCATAAGTATCCTGATAAAATTCCTGGTTGTCATTATTGTAACCATAGTTACCGGCATAGTCACCACCTTGCTGGAGCGGCTGCTGAGCGATGGGTTGGGAGCCCCAGTTCTGTTGGTTGTTGGTCTGACGACGTTTGGAATCAGGTTGGTTGTACCCATCTGCCTTTCTCTTGCCTCCTACGTTGCCCCCACGGTTGCCCCTGGCTCCACGAGCACCACGTCCTCTCTGCTGCTGTGCAGGACCCCCTCTCCCACCCCTGGCTCCTCTTGCCGGTCCCATGGGTGCCCCCCTCTGTGAATAGCCAGCTCTACCTCTTGGTGGTGGTGCTCCCCGCCCCCTAGGTGGTGGAGGAGCGCCTCTCCCACCCCTTCCTCCTCCTCCTCTTCCTCTTATAGCATAGCCATCATCATAGCCGTAATAGGGATCTTCATAGCCACCACGGTAATCATGATAGTCATAACCATAATAATCATCGTAATAATCTTCATAGCCATAGTAATCTGGGGGATAGCCATATCCACCTCTCCCTCCACGACCTCGGCCTCTAATAGGTGGTGGCATACGAGGTGGAGGGTAGTAATAATAGTCTTCATACCTAGTAAGAAAAAGAAATGCATATTAAAATTTGTCTATCTTAAGAGAGTCTTCTAAATAACTATTACCACCACCCCCCACTTAACACGTGGTGCGTGGGAAGAGAAGACCGTTTGTTTCAGATATTTCTATGCTAGCTCACATTCTGTTAGAAGCATGAAGTTTTGCTATTTCTGCATTACAACACTACAGAAATGAAGACTCACGCAGTGCTTCTGGAGGCTTGTCTAGCAGCCTGACGTTCTTTCCTTTTCTTATCCGGTGGCTTTGCTAAAACTATTTCAATTTCTTCCCCCTCTATCTCTTTTCCATTCATTTCATTCATAGCCTGCATGAAAAGAAAAACAAATGAAACCAGAGAGAAACACCTGAGTTAACAGGAATTGGTTTCCATTAACCAAAATCTTTGTGAGTTGCTACAAATTCTCAAAGGTGTAACAAAATAAAATATCACACAGCTGAAACTGAAAAGGAAATATCCTTAGAACTTTCACTCCTGAACTCCAACTCCAGCACCTGTCATTAAATTGTGATGTTAGTTGGGCCACCAAAGGTTACACTTTCTTCAAGGCTGTATTCTTAGACTTCCTAAAAGGATGCCATAGTAGATTGCACTCTAACCCCTCTTTATCCACTATGCTGAAACAGGTCTAAGATACAATGGAAAGATAGAAATGTCAAAGATCATATTTTAATAATATTAAAATTGTTCCAGACTTGTCAAAGCAAATGATCCATGTTGCAAATATGTAGCGCTCCCACGTTTCTTAAAAAGGAACATTTATTTCAGATGCAAATACTGGAAAAGTTCTTGATTACTGACATGAACAGCACACAGACACTAAACACATACTTAAACTCCTAATTTATATGCAAGTCTGGTTTTGTATACAGGTGTAAATAGCTACAACCAATAGGTAGAGAGACTCTACATTTGATGGTCTGACATTTTTTCTCTTTGAAAAGTTATAAGTACGGGGGGTAAGGATTCTGAAACTATGCTGTGTCTATGATCCTCTAGAAATACTTCTCCAAAGCCAAGTGGAAAGAAGGCAAAATGAAACAAAATACAAAAATATCCAGGAGCAAGTATTCTGTATTTACTAGGAGTGCACCAATAGAGATTTCGGAGGCCGATACTGATAGCTGATTTTTAAAGAGGCATATCGCCAGACACTGACCCAATTTCTGATGCATAGTCCAGCAA